GGTGTGGGTGTGGGTGTGGGTGTGGGTGTGGGTGTGGGTGTGGGTGTAAGTTCGGGTGTGAGGTCGGTTTGGCAACGTCAAAATAATCACCAAGACTGCCACCCGCACCCACTGACGCACCCACATCCACACACAAACCCACACCCACACCCTAATCTTACAGCACGAGATAAAAATTTCTGTGCAGATATACATTAGTTGTCCTTGTCACGTTCTGTCTATATTATGGATAAGATATGTCGAATAGCGATCGTATTATTTCCAATATTAATAATTCTGCTAACCGTATTTTTACGTTATGAATTATTAAACGTCATAAAATTACAATATACACGGCTTGTAAATTCTAACATTAAATTTGCTACGGATCGTAACGAACAAGGAAAACAAAAATGCCAATGGTCTTTTGTGAACTATACAGCTAACAGTTGGGAAAACATGTGGTATAATAACATTGAAACCTTTCAAAATAATGTTTGCGAAAGACTATCCGACGCTGAAAATCTGAATAAAACAATCTCAATGATACAGTTGCTAAATGTGTTGCAAAAATCAGGTAGATATGATACTAGCATAGCACAATCACAAATCGATGACGTTCTCTCAACAATGTATTATCGATATGAATGTATGAATACTGATACGTTTGTCACATCTAAGATACTTGAAGTATCACATTCGATCGAACCTTTAATAGGCTTATTACGAGATCCCTTTAGCATTTGTTCTCGTTTGCACACATCCGTAGTGCCTCCATCACTTTACGACGGGGCAGACTTACAATCAAAACGATTTATTCTATTGTCAGTTTCAGCGCCATTTTACACACATACAGTGCTACCAGGTTCTAGACTTTTAAATGAAATATCTATTATTTCTGATGATAATAATAAAAACGTATTGCCATGGATGTATCAACGTCTAGCACATACTGATATTGAAATGGAAATTAACATACGAAATCCAAAAGTTATTCTTTTCGATTTAGGAAGCTCTTATTTTGGTGGTTGGGAGAAAGATGATACAGCTGCTGCAGGAAAGTGGTTTTACGAGTATTATAAACGTTTCAATGTTAAATTCGATCGAATTATTGCTTTTGAGTTTTCTTCATTGAATCAGCATGATGCATGGGAACAATTACCTAGTGATGTTTTCTCTGTATATACTCTTATCAATGTTGGGGTCACTGAAAGCGGAAAGTTTAATCCTTGGGCAATGCTACAAACAATTGCTCAACCATCTGATCACATTATTGTCAAATTAGATATCGATACATCTGGTTTAGAAAATACGTTGATAAATCAAATATTAACTGATCCAAGCATTCATATTCTAATCGATGAACTTTTATTTGAGCATCATGTCACAGTTAATGAAATGATACCTCACTGGGGGCGATTTCCAGGCACATTAAAGGATTCATATGTATTATTTAGAAAATTGCGGCAACTGGGAATAAGAGCCCACTCGTGGCCATGAGCAGATATATGATACTCCGTACACAGTTCATGAAATTGGATATATCCACTCAATATACATTTAAATAGCCCAGAGATGATGGATAGGGCACCATTTTCAGCTCCGTCTGCTGAGCAGTTTTAATGGCCACTCCAAGTGAGCGTCTTAGTTTAAATAACGTTAGTTCACAGTAAAAATCTTGAAATATTAAAAACGGGATGGAGACTAGTGAATCCCCAGCAAATACATTAATCGGTTTTAAGTCTGGATGAATTGTATCCACAGAAAAATGATAATGGTATCAAAAATCCCGAAAAAGTATCTTGTCGGGACCGGGATCAGGATCGGTTTTTGTCGAGTGAGAGACGATTGCGATTGGTATGAAAAAAACCAGACTCGTCAAACCTTAACACATGCACCAGTTTCAGTCTTGAGGGTGGGTGTGGGATGCCCCCTAATAACGCCGAAAGTAAAAATGTCAAAAGTAAAAATACCGAAAGCTGAAAATTGTCGAAATAAATAATGATGAAAGAAAAATGTCGAACAATAGGGTGTGGGTGTGGGTGAGGGTGTGGGTGTGTGTGTAGGTGTTGGTGTGGGTGTGGGTGGGTGTGAGTGTGGGTGTGGGTGTGATATGGGTGTGGATACTGTGGCACTAAAACACCCGCATCACACCAACGCTCACACCCAAACCGACACCCACCCACACCCACACCCACCCCACCCACACTCACACCCGCTTGTGTTTAAATTCATAGTGGCAAAAGAATAAGCTTGGAGTATGGCGTAAGGAAATGCAAAGACAAATAGATTGATTACTTGAAATAGAGCCATACTTGTCATCTGTTTAGTTAGTCTCGAAAGAGGACGATTTCTGTCTTGTGAGAACTGATTGCGAATATGACGATAAGAGAAATAGCCAAAGATAGAGACTATGCTAATAGGAATAACTGTGAAGAGTCCAAAAGCAATGAAGTAAGTATTATATTGTGTAAATATAGCATTGATTGATACACATCTTAAGTTGACTAAATCTTGAAAAAAGAAATAAGGTATTTCATGTCCGATCCAAAACAAGAAAAATCCAATGATTAAGATACGAGCTGTGACGACATTACTCTTCTGACGCCAATACACAGAACTCGATGTCGCTAAGCATGTATCAATTGAATGAAGACACAAACATGTATATGAACTTAATCCAGTAATATAAATTAAAGGAATTCGAAGTTTACAATACACAAAATTTGTCGAAATAGAGCTAATACCAAGTCCACGATTGAGAGTCACCACAAAAACACCAGTGAAGAGAGTGATCAAATCAAAAAATGATTTAGCAAGAATATAAAGTGAACTTGCATTGTGTTTATAATTTCCCAATGTAATTAATGTAAGAATATTGAGAAGATTCCCTATAACTCCAAGAAAGACTATGGTAAAGCCAGTTGCTGTACCAAGGTATTGTGATATGAGATTTAGTTGAATGATGTTTGATGCGACGGTGACATTAGAAGACATGTTTATAATTAATGCTAAGGTAAATTTCTATTTATTTATTTATTGTCAAATACAACTACTGAAAGAAAAAAAAGGAAATTCAAATATACGCATTTTATTAAATCTATAACTATAAGAGGTATAATTCTACTTATTGTAAAGAAAAATAATACATTCTAAATAGAAAAAGATCATTTATGTTAGAATATGTTTTTAGAAGTCTTTGCAAAAAGGAATAACTAATCGTGCTTAATTCATGGCACGGATTTCATTAGCATTTTGTCAGTATGCACCTTCAAGGACAATGTGGCAATATTTTTTTGAATCCTTCTCTTGTTGAAATATATAGTCGACGACAGAAACATTCTGAAGTAAAAAATGTGGATGAATATTATGATACTTACTCATTGTATATTTCTCTTAAATCATATTTTACTGTTGTTTGTAAAAGATGAATTAGATAAAGAGATTTCTTCTTACCTATCTTATGATTCTACTAGAAATGCACATTAAAAGGAAAAAAAAGAAAATTTCTTTCTTTATAAATCTTCTTCACTTCTGTTTGTGACGTTAGAAATGGATGATAAATTACTGCTTTTGATAAATGAAGACGTCATTGATTTCTCGCAAGGTCTTGTTAACATCTGCTCATGAAAGTAAACGTAGATAATTAATTTGCATTGAAATATTTTAGATTTCTGCTGAAAAAAGTATAATAATTAATGTCTCTCACGTCTTTTTTAGTTCTGCTTACGGGAAATAATTAATCTCTCTTTGAATCTTCTTCAATTCTGCTAGTGGCGACAGAAATGAATGATGCACTTTTTCTTAAAAATTTGACATTGCTAGAAATATACTTTGAAATGAAAACATTCATTGATGTCTCTCTAGTAATGGAGTACTTGGAGATATATTTGAATTTTTATTTATTTATCATTTATGTTAGCTAACAAAAATATTTCATCTATAATAAGATTTTCTTTTCGAGATGGTTCGATACAACTCGTTGAGCTCTACAAAATTGTCTAAATTAAAAAAATGTAAATCCTTTTTCTGGAATAAAATTTTAAAAAAATACTTGAATAAAACACTCAATATTTCAATAAATTCATCGTTTTCTTATTATATAATAGTCATATAGATCTACTAGTGTAACATATAACATGTCGAGCACATCCCATCGGGTCCGGGTCAGGATCGAAAGAAATATATCATCAACATAAATCTTTTTTTTTTGATTTCCTTAATTTTTCATTCATTTAATTCAAAAGGCCTGTAATTTGTTTGTAAAAATATTAGAAAGAAGAACGACAAAACTTTCTGCTTATAATATCTAAACTTAATATGTAATAAAAATATTCAAAACTTGAGTTATTCAACGATATCATCGGTATTTTTCAATATAAGACTGTGTATAAAATCTTAATATTTTATCTATGACGTACATCAATAAGAATAAAATCAGACTACGCCCTGTTATGACGCATATTTTTTTATCCTTGAATTTATTATTTGCTCGTCGTCATTAAGTTACTTGAATAGTGTGTATGAGAGAACAAACGAAATAATGATAATACACGTATGAAAAAAAATAGATATACCATTAATATATAAACACGTGCTATTGTAAATATATGTATGAATACATAATAAGGAAAGGTAAATTTCGATGTATATAAAAATGATATAATATTTTCATTTTCTGTATAAAATATATTTTTGACTCATTATAATATTATTTTACTCAGTGACACACAGAAAATGTAAGTTTTTACAATTAGATTTTTCTATTCTTAACTAATATAACATTATTTATTACAAAAAATACTCAAATGATTTACTCCGATTAAAATAATCATAAAAGATTTCGTGTATTTATTAAAATTTGGTCTAAATATCCAATTTTTTTCGGATGTACAATTAAAATCTATGTAGTTGTACATTATCACTTACGATATCTGATTCTGTAGATGTTTCGATTTCCTTAGCATTGCTTCAAAGCCTCAAATTTCGTCTATATCTCCTTCGTAAAATATATAAGTTCCATAAAACAAACGGTTGAAGAAATTTTCAGTTGTCTTCTCATAGGTAATAGTAAATGCATCGATAAGATTGGAATGAAGTGAATAATAAATGGTAACTCTGACATGTTTGAATTTCATCATGCTTATTTCTTTTATTATATGAATATTCCTCTAACTAGAGAAGAGATCGATGAAATCCATGTACAAAAAGTGGAGAACATACATTTTGTTTCCAATGAAACTGTAACATCTGTATATGCTTCTGGAGATCCTGCTATAAAATGTCCAAAGGATGCTGTTGAGATGCTCTTCGAAAAACCGGCGCATCGTTTACGATCAAAAATCAAACATGAATCATTCGACCATGATGTAACACAAGAAGAGATGGATGCTGCCGCCCAATTTGGACGATTTCCTCATCGTCCAAGCGATTTATTTCTCAAAGTATGCATTTCGTTGATTTTGTAGAAAATTTCGGATTTGATTCTTTAGATATTTCATGGTGTGGTTTATACGGCCGAACTTGACCTAATGGCTGGTTGTATATCACCAAGATTAGTTGGCGCGTCTGGTGTGGTTCCTCTATCAATTATTTCTACGAATCCAGATATCATGCATCATTACTTTCATGTTATTTCACATGCTCAAAAAGAAGTTCTATTTGCAACATGCTCGTGGCAAAAAGGTGGAACTGCAAATCTTGTTTGTAACGCTTTGCGAGCTTTGAGCAAACGTGCTACTCAAGAAAAACGTCATGTTATTGTCAAACTGATGATAGATCATTTTACGAAAGGAAATCTGTTGCATGCTCACACCATATTACCACCTCATAAATGGGCGGAAAGTTGTATTCCTACAGCGGAAGAACTGCCTAATATCTCAATGGAAGTCAATACTTACCATCGAATAGTCGTAGGAGCATTTCATTGTAAATATCTGGTCGTCGATCGGAAAATTGCTCTCTTAAATAGTAATAATATTTATGATCGACCAAATTTAGAGATGATGGTACACTACGAAGGAGATATTGTGAATTCATTTTATGATACATATCTTATCTCTTGGCAATTACCTTTTCAACCTAATCTTGTATGTTTACAAGAAGAAGCACCAGTCAATCAAGATTTCAAGTTTGGTGTTGGAGTTACAACAATTGAATCTGTGACAGGATCATTGAAAGAAGCAGTTGCTCAAACACGGTTAAGACTTCAACGTAATCTTAACACCGAAGAAGACGGTGAAATTGATCCGGAAGAACTATCTTCATACTTAGGCGATGAAGAACAACAATCATCATCATCATCTGAACAGACAGCAACGCCTCATCATGATTTTTCAAGTGTTGTAGCGAAAGCTTTGTCAGAAAAAAAGCTGCTCATTGACCCAATACACTTGTTAAAGCATCAACACAAATAGCAACTAACGTTGTTGGTTTAGGCTCTACTTCCCACCCTCCAAATCCTCTTACTGCTCATCTGAATGGATTCTCTGAATCTGCTTAAGGAACAAAAACTGCTGCGGATCTATCTGCAGCAGAACTAGAAAATCTTTCGACAGATTTCACACCTTTTGTCTTTCATAGTCCACATAAACCATTCCCTATTGCTCTTATCAATCGTTTGTCACATGGTGCTCCAGGTCATCGAAATACAGTTAATCCACAAAATGTTGCATGGACAAGTGCTTTTCGATACGCTCAACGTTCGATATTTATTCAATCACCAATGTTCAATGCGTCAGGAGTAGTCGATGGTGTTATATCTGCCTGTCAACGTGGCGTTCAAGTGGTTTTATGGCTTGATTTAGGTTATGACGGTAAGAAAGAAGGTTTTGGAACATTTCAAGGTGGAACAAACGACCATGTTGCAAAGAAACTCTACAAAAAACTTAAAGAAGGTGGTGATGGAGCAGAAAACAATCTTCAAGTTTTCTGGTATACTGCAAAAGGTAAATTGTTGAGTACTTGCCTTTCTAAATAATTTCATATTTTAATTATAGATCAAACACATCCTTTTCATTTTGCACAAAAGAAACGTAATTGTCATGTTAAATTCATGTCCATCGATGATCAAGTTGGTATCATGGGCACTGGCAATATGGATACACAAACATGGTGCCATTCTGCGGTAAGAAATTATATTTTTCATTTTAAATTCTTGTCTATTCTATCGTATTGAATAGGAAACTAATACAATGATCGATTCGCCTTTGATTGTTAAAGAATGGATTGAAGCTTTATATAAAAATCAATCTACAGGTCAATATGGCAGAATAGGTCAGGATGGTAAATGGCGCGATGCGAATGGTAATTTGGATCCTCGTGGTGGAAAATAATATAATACATATATATATTAATATTCTCGCATGAGAAGATAGAAAGACGTTAATCTCTAACTCCTATTAATTAACATAAAAAAATACTATATGTTTTTATTGTTGAATTAAAAATAAATAGACTTTACATATTGAAAAATTCGACATTCAACGGTGAAGATGGAAAGAGAGAAGTATTGTTGAATAATTGTTTCTTGTTTCGATACAATACAAAAACGATAGATCTGCATCACTATTTCTCATGATTTATGTATGAAATTATTATGTAGTGGAGGGGATAATTAGATAGTTTATTGATAAAATATCTATTCCACAGTTACGATTGACAACCTATTCAATTAACGGGTTGAAGTGAAGTCACGAATTTCGTTAGCCAATAAATATAGATCTTGCTCATATCTAAGTAATTGCTCAATGAGACAAATAGCCGAAAAGAAAATCTTTATCGTGTTGAAATTCACGCTTTTCATATCAATATAAACTAATCATTTCGTTCATGCAATGGAGGTACAATTACACTTTGACTAATTCTAACATGTCGAGATTATTTTATTGATTAACTAATTCCAGTAATATACTAAAAGAAAAAGTTCTAACGAAAATCTTTTTCTTTTTCATTGAGAAATTATTTTATCCTAATAGAATTTTTTTTTCTCTCATAAAATATTGCATTTCCTTGTAAAAATATTAATTACATTCAATATTAGTCAAAGATATTTGTTTCCGTATTCTACATAGGAGAGTAGAATATTTTTTCTATTTCTAGTAGATGATAACTCACATATGGCATTATTTTGTTCAGAACAAATTTTAAAAAAAGTAATAAGTACATTTTTTTTTCAAAATCATATAAAAAATATTTCTCCTAATTTAATTGACAAGTAAAACTTGTTTTTACTTCGATTCAACACGATAAACAATTTGTAGAACAAAAAAATAAAAAATATTCAAGTCTTAATGATTATTATTATTTAAATCGATAAGAATAGAATTAATTTTTATCGGTTTAAATTAGAATAAAATCAAATCTTCCATATATTTCATTACTAAAAAACATGAATAAATATTATAAAAAGTAACATATATACTTCTTAAATAGAAATTTTATTTAAGTATGTTTTTACGACTCGTAATATTAGAAATGTGTTTTATCTCTAAAAACTTACATATGACAGATGTCAAACGAGATGAAGAATTTTAAATGATTTATGTAAAGATCAATGGTAACTATAGATGATTCTATGGAAAATGAAACGATAAGTTTTAGACAAAAATATCCATTTGCCTTTATTTTTCAAATGGATAATATCATAAATTTTATTTGTAGTTTTAATAATTATGATATGTATTGGTGAAAACTACTAAAGATTCTAATTATATCTCTACTTTTTGGTTAATTGTAAAATAATAGAGAGTTACTAATAATATATTAAATATTATTCAAAGGGTGGGTGTGGGTATAAATATTTTTATCATCGAATATTCACATCCTCAAGATGGAGATGAATCAAATCTTTATTACTTATTCTTGTCATACACCTATATTTCATAGTGATTGCAACGTTGATTCTCTTATTGTATCGAAGCAAACAAACAGCTCAATCAAAAAAATATAGATTATCAAATTGGTAAAAAACGTTCTCGATCATATGGTTTAATAGTTATAGTACATAACCTGTTTACAGAATTCTGAATTCTGAAAAATCCTACGTAATGATATCACCAAATATTCAATGGAGAGAACAAAATAAAACGATTCGATAGTGAAGCAAAATCACCTACTGATGACATCATTAATTCTATAGTTAGGAACAGTCTAGAAGTAATCATATGAGTATTTAATATTAGGATGCAAGACACAGTATACTTGTTGTATTATAAAAAGTGGTAAAAAACATATAAGTGAAAACCTACAGATTCGCTTTCACAATTTTTACATCGCAACATGATGTTGTATTTTCTTTCAAAAAGAGAAAAAAAAGTAATATAATTTGTCTTTCACTTTGTACACATAAGAAAAGGTTAATTATACTTTAACTGAGAAAATGGTTATACATACAAAAAAAATGAATTTTTAAAGGTGAATGACGCCAATAATGAAAAAAAATCGAGTATGTATTTACTTTGTCATGATGATTTTTCTAGTTTAAAAGTTCTTTTAATTTTATTTTTTCGATTAATCCTTTTTACTGTCGCAAAAGAATTGGTAAAAGTGACACAACACATATGACAAATCAAAATCAACAAAAAACAAACACCATAGCAGCATTGAAAACAACGAATACTATTTAAATGTGAAATTTTTTGTCAGTATTTGTTTCTATTCTAGATTATCATCAACTCGAGTCATAACAATGCAGCAGAGTTTAATATTTATATACACTATGATTACCATCATGGTGATTCATGTGTTTGGACAAGATTTAAGTGTTAGTATAGCTCCGACACGCACACAATACAGTAACAAACAAGATGTAGAAGTGATTCTTAATTATAGAAATCAAGGTTCAAAAAAAGTTTTAATTTATAAATGGTATTTTCCCGATCAACAATTATTTCATCCATTATTTGAAATAACTCGAGATGGTAAGCGCGTTGCATATATTGGTCCAGTTGTTAAACGACGTACACCTATTGCTGAAGATATGGTTTCTCTTGAATCTGGTAAAAGTATAAGTACTCGCGTTCAACTCTCTTCAGTATATAACATGACTGAAACTGGTAATTATGCAATTCGATTCAACGTAAGTATTGGTCCAATGTTAAGCACATCCAGTCGTTTACTACAAATCGGATCTGATGTCGTAAGCGATTCTATATTAGTATCACCATCTGCAACACTAGGGTGTGGGTGTGGGTGCTTATGCTATCTTAACTCGTACTAGCACCCACACCCACACCCACACCCACACCCACACCCACACCCACACCCACATCCACACCCACACGGACACCCACACGGACACCCACACCCACACCCACACCCACATCCACACCCACACCCACCCACACCCACCCACACCCACAACCACACCCAGACCCACCCACCCACACCCACACCCACACCCACACCCACACCCTCAAGATGAAAAGATGTTAACTAAAGATTGTCTTGATTGTTGAAAAAGTAAGTAATGTAGTTAATCTTGAAAATATAATTTTATTTTAATGGAAATTATCGATCTTCATTCGATCATTATCAACCTCTTAGCACAACCTGATGATACAAACAAAAAAAGATTTTACACGAAATATTAAAATCTCAAAATTATTCATATTCATACATTATTGATACATAGTAGTATTAAATAAATTGAGTATTTATTAGTTGTGGAATGAATTTATATCATTCATTCATGGTTATGGTTATGATGTTTATGTTTAAATGATGACTACATATAAGATATTTATTTTTGTGTAAAATCTTTTTTTGTTTGTATCATCAGGTTGTGTTAAAAGGTTGATAATGATCGATTGAAGATCGAAAATTTCCATTAAAATAAAATTATATTTTCAAGATTAACTACATTACTTACTTTTTCATTTAAATTAAAATCTCAAAATTATTCATATGTCTTGATTGTTATTTGTGTGATTGTCGAGTTAATATGTGTCGAGAGAATTGAACAAGTAATAAGCATAGAACAAATGGGAGAATTTCAACAATTGTATCAATACTAATCTAATTTTATTGAAATAAATTTTATTTAACTAACTGTAAAAAAAGAAAGAAAATGAAATAAAACCTATTGAGCACTGATCTGTAATAGACCAAATTATGAACTTCCACTTGTTTCTTTTGCTTGATCATAATAAAGAACATTTAAAAGCATTGCAGTAAAAAGTAATACAAAACAACAAGTACATCGTTGAATACGTGTAAATTTATTTGATGATGGATGAGAAAATAATTTATTCGATCTATCATCTATCTATAAACAAATCATAGTGGCGCTCATATGAGCCACTCGTGTTCGCTATACTGCGAATCATATTCTAAGTCAAGCCTAGATTCATATATACTTACAAATCAAAGTGTACAATTGATGTATCAAAGATTTTGAAAAAAAACAAATTTTTTTTAAAATTTATAATAATAATCGAATTACTTGCCGATGAAAAAATAAGAAGAGTTTCTTATTATTAATAGGCTGATAGTGTCATATCTATGAAGAAATCAACAATAACATGTAACAATGAAACAAAATGATTCAATTGCTGAAATGTTCGCCTTATTTATAGAGTGATAATGTTCTTTTTTTCTCTATCCTCTTCATTGACCTTGTAGCCGAAAACAGTTCTTTTTCTAATGTATTTTTATTATAGTGAAAGAGGCGTGAGTTATATTCTTTACAAAATTAAAAAATGAGTCACGTTCTTCAAGATATTACTATCTTATATTTAGTTTCGTGTGTTCTTCAATATCAGACTGGTCACGAACAATTTATATCCATGATATAAATCTGTTTACATTAAAATCTGTCTCAAGGTTATTCATGTATTTTTATACATATTCTATGATTATGATAAAAAATGATCATAAGGTACATGAGATAATATTCAAAGCTTTTTTTTCGCTATTACGTAGTTTTATTTCATTAAAAAAATTAGTAATTAACTGGTAAACATTCAATACTCATTTAAATGAATCAACAAATTTATAAAATAGATTAAATTATGTATTTCAAATTTCAATAGTTTCCTATTAAGATCAAGTAAATCTCTCTTAATTTAGTTAACAAATTAAAATACAATATGTTGTATTTCTACATTAACTATAATTATGTCTCAAATTGTATTACAAGAATATTCTTTAGTTTATATTTTACATATAACTAAATATAACTGAACTGTTTTAAACAAATCAAACTTGTATATTTTCATTGATCTATTATTGTCCCAACAAATACTTATATTAATTATCTATTCTATTCAGAATTCTCTGAAAATTATATAATCAACACAACAAAATAAAAATTCATGTAGTTTTTTAGAAAAATACATTTAACCCTTTCAGTCCTAAATTATTTTTTACTGAATTATATTCAAGTAAGCTGTAAAATTCGCTTATTCTAGACACAGAAATATATTTTATAAATGTTTTGCCTGTTCCTATATGTGGTTTACTTAATCGGAGTTTTAATGCTAAAATTTATTAAAAAACTTATAACATGTTTTCATGAAATAATAAAAAGCAATTTTTATGTTGTTTTACACAAAAAGAACGACCACAAAAACTGCATTTTATATTACTATATATTGGATGAGCTCTTGTACTACAATATCCGCATCTTCCTTTAGGTCCAGCTACAGGCATATGTGCTAACAACGGAGTTGATAAATATTTGACGCTTGATGTTGGTTGAATTTGTCTTAGCTTTCGTGCAGAAAATTGAATAGGTCTGCCTCTTCTTTTCCGTGAACTTACATCACCAATTAATGACATTGAAACAGAAGAGAGAAATTCTACATAAGTCATTTTTTTGTTGATTCAGATCATTGTAACAGATGAATGCATTTGAAAGACTTGCTTGAAGAAAATAAATAAATATACGAAAACAATTTCGTTTAGATTTTCTGTCAATGGAATAGCAAGCGATCCGTTGGTCAAACGCATCAACACCGCTCATAAATTTGTTATACTTAGATACCATTTGTGGGCAAATAACAAGTTTTTTTGAACCGTTCTTCTCTCCTCTAGTAACCATTTCAGTTTTCCTTGGGTCAAAGAAATTGCTTGCAACAAACACCGGTTTTTTGTCTTGCCACTTGACGACTGATATTTGGTTAGAAGAGCAGTATTTATATTCACCTTGTTTCAATTTGTCTTTTTGTAAGAGTTCTTTGGGAAATAACTTCCTATTTGTTCGTATGGTTCCAGTTGCTCCAATTTTCTGCTTTTTCAGTTGTAATAATAGAGGAATAGATGTAAAAAAGTTATCAAAAAATAATTGATGTTCTGCTAAATTGATCTTCTCAATAAGTCGTAATACAACATCTTCAGCCAACGTTCCTTGTCTATTTTCTTGTTTACCGGTATAGATATCGAAAGTATAAAGATATCCAGTCAACGAATCTGCTAAACACCACACCTTGTATCCTCTTTTGATCGGCTTCAAAGGCATATACTGCTTCAAAGAACTTTTTCCTTTGAATTTGATCATACTTTCATCAATGGAGACATTAGTTCCCAAAATAAAGTTCATCTGAAAGTTCCTTTTCAGTAAACCAATGAAGTCGAGTACTTTGAATAACTCGAATTCCTTTGAAATTTTTGTAAATTGATTTTGTTTTTCATTATCTGACAAATGTAATGCCGCTAATATTCGAAAAAATTCATCTCTTGGTATAGCATTAACAATAATATCTGTATAAAATATTTTATTCCTACTCCAATAATCTCTTATTTGAGGTAATCGATGCAAACCCATAATTATTAATATGCCAAGAAAAGAACGAATAATACTTTCGCCCACTTCTTTCCAATTGTTCGGACGCTGTTGCGCTAAAGATTTTTGTTTTCCATAAATATTTGTTTGCTTTACGATCAATTGAATTATATCTTTTGTGAAGAACTTGTTGTAGATGTCGATTGGTTTGATATTATTGGTGGAAGTTATGGATGTATGTCCTTTGATATCATCTGAAGGAAAGATTGTGTCTTGAATAAAATTTTGACTCCAATTTAATTCAAAATCTTCTTCTTTTTCTTCGATTTCAGCAGCTTCTTCTTCATTTTCGGTTTCCATAGTGGTTTCTTCATCATCAATTTCTAGATCACTTTCATTTTCGTTATAAAAGTCGTATTTATCATCGACTGATGAATCACTTGTTGTGCTTTCTTGATCACAATCCATTTCTGTAAGATGTGTGTCTCCGACTGTATATGTGTATATCCAGTCTCCACAATAAACACCACGGTATATATAGAACGGTAATAGGTACTAGAAAAACGCATCATGGAAAATTCCAGGAATGATGACCAACGTAAGAAAAAAATCATAGACCAATATGAAAGAAAGAGAACATATAGAAAGGAAAAATTCATCATACATATATGTATATATAGACATATATGACAGGAATGGAATAAGTCTATCATATATGCATGACAGAAAAGGAATGAAGAAGAAAAAATACATTAAAAGAACGTAATATGTATCAACATGATATTTTATCGACGAAAGGATGAATGATATCACACATAGAAAAAGAAAGGATAAATACAAGGCGACGACTACAACATAGATACTCTGAAAAAGCCCTAAAACAGTCCTTATTACTTTTTTTCAAGAGATTTCATACTAATTTTCATAAAATATGTCATGGAAAATAATTAAAAAACATGTGTTGCTTTTTTTATATCAGGGGACTGAGAGGGTTAAATTAATAAACAATCATCATCATCAAGCTGATGCCATATTAGATAAACAAACTGAAAAAGATTTATGAGTAACTCGTCATAATCTATTAGGAAAATTTTTATTTACATTGGAATTAACATGAATAAGAATAATTTTTTGATCTGTATACATAGAATATTGGAAAATTGTTGACAATAACTCTTGTTTCGTTATCACCATATACAGAACGTTGAAGAAAAGTGAATTTATTGAAAAATATTATTAATTATTTTAAGCATGAGACATCTGCAATCATAAACTATTTATTGAAACTGGATATAAACAGTTTGAAAGTTATTTTTCTCAAAGAACGTCATCTGTCTAAGGATTTACTTTTAGTCGTATTATATAATTATACTAGGAAAAGTCTATAATCTCTATTTGATAAATTAAAAGACAAAAAACACGGATTACGATTATGATATTAATAAATAATATGAACAATTTCAAGAAAATAAAACTAATAGATTTTGTCAAACAAAATTTACAGAATTATGAAAAGATAGTGCCATTCTATCTCAGTTGATGCAATAAAATATATATATAATGGATAAAGCTGTTAGTGCGGATATTTAATTTTTTTTATTAAAAAAGTTCACTGCGCTCTTCTATTATATATTTTTTACACTTGTTTTTTTCTGTTTAATTTAAGTTTCCATATGATTATGAAAACATTTTGTTGCCATAGAATAAAGATGTTTCTCATCTTTAGTCTTTTTTTCTCATAGAAATAGGAAAAGTATTAGACGATGTTGCTTTTCTCGACATAAAATCTTCTCGAAGTATCATGGAATGAATAGACTAAAAAAAACTATTTTTTCTTTTCTCTCTCAGAATGACGTAGATTGATGAAAGTATGTTTCAAAAGGACATTCTATCTGTGATATTTCACACTTATCTCATCCTGCACATCTTCACTTTATAATATTAATCATATTAACACAAAAATGAACACGACAACGTCCACATTAATGTCATCGACAGCTATTAATTGTAAGTTTTGCATTGATTTTTTTTTCTTAACAATTAAATATAAACTATTAAAATTGAGAAATAATTATATTTTCTACAGTAAATAAAAATTCGATGATGAACTATTTCTTATAAATCTTGATGATAATCTCGGAAGATATAGAAATGCATCGTATTATACAGAACACATTTTTCTTACTTATGGATGATGCAAGTATAACGTCATCCACTTTAGGGGGAGGAGGGGTCAGTCAATAATGACAATTGTTTACTGTACGGATGAGTGGGATCGCTTCAGGATGATGTATACAGATTTCCGACTGTATAGCAGATTTGTCTATCATTGAAAAACTCGTAGTGATAACGTAATCAAGGGAAGGAAAGATTCTAGAACGTTGACATTTGGTTATTTGCGGGAGGCAGGTGATCAAAATGGCCAAAAACCGGATGACGTAATACAGTGGTCTATAATTTTCCCAAACAAAATTTCCCTCTCCCCGGAAATTTTTTTTGAAAAATCCCCTCTCCCAGCGCGGGGGCGTACGAGGGAGATTCTGTACCTCTCACGTAATACTTGCATCGTTCCTTAAGCATCTTGAAGTTTTCTGTCAACTTCTCTAAGAAGAAAAATATTTTGAAAAATAATTCCTAATGAATTTCTCAATATAATATATGTTTTTAAAGTTCAAAAACTAATACTTTTTTGTTTTTCATAGAAATTCTTTCAAGGGAGAACAAGCACACTTTTGTATTTCAGAAGTCCTCTCTGTCCCCCTTGAACTCTTCTCAATAGTCATTTTGTTTACACTTCATTTTCTATCTCTACCTTTCCCTAGAATAAAATTCACAAGATAAATTTGAAATGTCATAATAAATAGTTGATGACAGATGAAATAATCTAAGTATTCTCTTTCTCGTAGAGAAGAGTCTTGCTTGTACGTCCACACTTCACTGATTGCTCTAAAAATTAGATAAACATATAAAAGGAATTTTTTTTATAAAGGTTGACCGGAGGATAATTCTGTTTTGTTTAATTATATAAATCAATAGCTTGGTAGTTGTTTAGTAGCGCGATTTGTACGAGAGCGAGTCTTTAGACAAGCGTTATTTGTATGTCTAATTAATTAATTTTTATAATTTAAATAGATGCAAATACTTTCTTTCGATATGATCCATCAATAGCAGGAGCTTCAATATTTTTGGCAATGTTTTCTATCGTAACAATTGTTCATCTATATCAAATGTTTCGATATAAAACATATTATTATATTGCAATTGTTATTTGTGGAATTGGTAAATATAAAATAAATTATTGGCAAATTAACATTTTTTATTTATTTAGCGGAAGTTGTTGGTTATGCAACTCGATTAGTATCTCGAGCGAATCCATTTAATAGAGATATTTATTCAACCCAATATGCATTAATAGTTTTGGCTCCAATATTTCTTGTTGCCAGTCTCTATGTAATGCTTGGTCGAATGTAAATAGAATTCATAGATTTTGTAAAATAAATATTTTTTCTTAATATAGTATTCGTTTTGTTGGTCATCGATCATTGATACCTGCTAAACGAATTGCACTTATTTTTATTACTGGTGATGTTATTACATTTTTAGTCCAGGTAAATTCTTTTTTTTCAAAAATTCTTTCAATATTTTCTTTAAATTGAAAGATATTTGGTGCAATTATGCTTTTAAATAAAAACAATACAAGCAATGTAAATCTTGGAAAAAATATTCTATTAGTTGGTTTAATTATTCAGATTGGAGTATTTTTCTTTTTCACTATTTGTGCTATTCATTTTCATGTTACTGTCAATAAAAGTGGACAACATAATGGTGGAAATTGGAGACAATTAATCAAAGCTCTATATGTAGCTTGTGTATTTGTTTTAGTAAGTCATATTTTTTGTTAAGAATTTAATTTGTAAATTGTTTTTTGTTTAATTATAGTTACGATCATTATTTCGTGTTATTGAATTTTCTGAAAGTGTTACTGGTTATCTTCAAACAACGGAATGGATATTTTATGTTTTCGATGCTCTTTTAATATTTCTTACAACAATCATATTTACTATTTTTCATCCCGGAAAATATCTTGCTCAAAATTCTATTCACCGGTGAACGATGCCAACATTACAAATAGAATCGAGCCCATCAACATGCCTAAGAAACCAGCAGATGCAGTCAAACCTAAGAATTCAATCGACAATATTGAATTGGCTTAATATTCTATCACATAGGATTTTATTCAAACAAAAAAAAAATAAACAAATTCATTCTTCATTTTCAATAAAAACAGTTTTTTAAATTCTAATTATTTAATAATAAATAAATTTATGAAACTTTTGAAAAATTTATGTAGAGATATTCTAAAGTGAAATATAATTGATAGATCACAGATGGTTGATGGTATTCATACGGTCCATGACTTCAGACTGCTCGTTCATGTATTATAATTTAATCGCATGTTTTATTTTCTTTGAAATATTGTTGAGAATTCAAAGAGAATAACGCGTACTTCTTCGTACATTTTGTACGTCAGAGTTATGAGTAATTTAAATGATCGAATACAATTGACGCAATGCAAAGTTTATGTAAAAATGTTTATTATTCATTGTAATATTAAAACTGTTATAGATAGACATAAAAATATCTGTGAAAGCATTTGAGAAAGTTACATTAGTAACAGTATACTTACAATTCTAACAGCTGAACGTGTATTTGATTAATAAAATTGATTTATTCCAGTGAAAAGTCTTATAGTAATAAAAAACTAATATTTTATTTTATTAGTTATTCTCAATTGAAAAACTCTAAAAAGTTAAAATAAGTTTATTCATACTTTTGTTGAGACATAATATTATAACCAATTAAACTGACACAGTCAAAGGTCGTGAAACTTATATTTGAAATTGTTGCTGGTGCTGAGGAGTGTTTCAGAAGAATCATTTATAGATATAACACAAGCATTGAAATACGTTTTATTCGTTACTCTTATCAATATCATTGATCATAAAAAAAAAGAATTGACATTTAATTTTCTATTGATTTAATGGATTACAGGATTTACTGCCGTATAATTTATTGCCGTTGTAAACATTTGTTTACAAATTTTTTTTTTATTTTTTTTTTACAAGTTTAAGTTTAAATTTTTTTGTTTCTGGTAAATTATATGATTAAGTTAGATAAATCTAATGATCACAATAATAACTTTTCTTTGAGATTTTCTATGTCAAAGGTTCTGTTTCATCTCAAAGGCTCGTGAGAGTAACTTTAAAGCTAACTATTGTTTGTAATTGAGCAGATAAAAATAAATTAGTTTATATATCAAAGGTTTATTTTTCATATTAAATAATCGTGATAGTCAGTTGAAATGCAACTATAGTTCGTAATTGTATAAATAAGATTGTAAAGAAGAAACTGTTTTCTATGTCAATAGTTTATACTTCATATCAAATGTTCGTGAAAGTAAATTGAAATCTAATTATAGTTCATAATTAATTAGATAAAAAATTGTTTTCTGTATCAAAGGTTTATTTCTCATCTCAATCATTGGTGAAAGTAGAATTAAATCTAACTATAGTTCGTAATTGTGTAGTCAAAAAAAATCATTTTCTATGTCAAAGGTTCATTTTTCATCTCAATTGTTCGTGAAAATAAATTTAAATCTAATTATAGTTCGTAGTTATATAAATGGATTGTATAGAAGAAACTATTTTCTATGTCAAAAGTTTAAATTTCATATCAAACGTTCGTAAAAATAAATTAAAATCTGACTATAGTTCGTAGTTATGTAACTAGACTGTAAAGAAGAAATTGTTTTCTATGTCAAAAGTTTATTTTTCATGTCAGACGTTCGTAAAAGTATATTAAAATCTAACTATAGTTCGTAATTAAGTAGAAAAAGAATGTTTTCTATCTCATAGGTTTATTTTTTATCTCAATATTTCGTGAAAATAAATTTAAATATACCTATAGTTCGTAATTAAAAAGAGAAAAAAAACTATTTTCTATCTCAAAGGTTTATTTTTTATATCAAACGTTCGTAAAAGTAAATTTTAATGTAACTATAGTTCGTATTTATATAAATAGATCGTAAAAAAAAATTATTTTTTAAATTAGCTAAAAGCCTTATTTTTCATAGTAAATTTTCATGACTACATAGTAGAAAAGCTCAATAATGAATCTTTTCTCTACTCTGATTAAATTGTGTATTTTTCATTACTAATAGTTATAGAAAAACTTCTCTAATAAATATATTAAATCGGAAAATTTAAAACATCATTAATTTTACTAAATGGATTATTAATGCTACCTTATGCAACTCATTTCGTAATTCTAATTTTGTGATCATTGATTTACCTAAACTATAATTCATATAACTCACCAATTTCAACTGATATAATTGTAGGTAAATGATTGCGACAATTTTAATGAATAATTATTTTTATAAAAAAAAAAGAGAAACGCGCCATTTGTCATATTGATTCATCATAATGAATCAGAAAATTCTTATTATATTTATAAATTCGACTTTATTGAAATTTAGAAAAAAAAGAATTCAATATATTTATATATATTTTAGTAGTAAAGAAAATAAGAAATATGAAATGTGTGAGATAGATATATTTTATTACTAGATGTTGTAGAAAGAAATTTATAAATTTATGATTCATTAGTTAATAGAATTTTTTTGTTTTAATTGATACAGTATATACGATCAAAACATTGCAAAAAAACTATTTAATTTTTTTCCAAGATAAAATAGTATTATTACATTCAATATCTTTACATCGAATACTGTATGTATAGTCTTTTGTATTGATCATGATTGCTACATTATTACGTTGATGATGACCATTTTTCTTTGGACAGTATTTATATTTTCCTGCTATATTAAAAAATAATAAATTTGTATTATAAGTACCACGAGCACATGAACATATGTAACCTTGATGAGATGGATCAGATGTAATGATATTTTCAACAAAATCGATAAATATTGACATATCTGGTACAGATAAATTGAGATTATTAATTTTATTAGGATGTAATGAACGTGATAAATTTAGATTGGTATTAATATTTGGATGCGAATGAGAAAAAGACGAATGCTTCATATGTTGATTAATTGGTTCAATATTTATAAAATTTTGTAGCTTTGTATTAGTTGAATTAGAAGAAGTCGATAAATCAAATACAAATTTTTCATTTTTAAAATAGATTTTTGGAAGTTGATCATTTTCGATGAATGTAATTAAAGATTTTTTGAGAAGATCAGAAAATGAATATTGTAATTGAGAATCAAAAGGAAATGTAGCGGATAAAATAAGAGGATTATTTTTTCCATATTTGACACTATTAAATAAACGAAATTGCTGGTTATTGGAGTATACATTTATATCAATTGCTGTCACCCATTCATTTGTTTTATTTTGTACCAGTAAATATGCTATATCAGCGATTGAAATATAAGGAATTGAAGTTTGACATGAAGTACAATGTTTTCGTAATATATTTATATGGGGTACTAAGATCTGAATTAAGTTTGATATAGTACATGACCTTAATGGTGAAGTGATATTGAACATGGAGCATTTATGTTGAACAACTGATAATAATACAAAATGAATCATTGCTTTGATAAAAATTGCAAGTGTAGATACATTTTCAAGTATAACTGATGGTTTTGCATGTATAAAATGATATGATATCTTCTCGCTTGTTGATCTAAAAATAATACTATTTTTTTACCAGTTTTGAAAAAAACTATGATTTACGCTTCTAAAACTAGAAATCGTTTGAAAACGTTTTCAGTATAATTTTCTACTGTATTAATAGTATCATCTGGAATATTTAGGAAATAATATAGAATTTTAAGAAAGCACATAGGACCAATATGATGATTTTGTATATCCAAATTATTATGAATCATGTATTCGAAATCGATATATATTTTAACAGAATTTTTTGGAGAAATACATTCGTATAATGCTCGATCTGTTACAGGACAATTTTCAAATAATTTTATTAATTCTTCAATTGTAAGATAGCAAAATTATCAAGATCTATTTTCTTTTTCAATACTTATAAATATATTATTTATTCTGTTGTTTTGTTCCAATATTTGATTATTCAAGTCAGCTATACGATAAGTTATAATTTTATTTGGAAAAAGATGTTTGATCAATTTCTGAAGAAAGTTCATAATATATTTATCATCAATATTTAATAGACGAATTCTTATGTATATATAAAGTTGTAATTTTAATTGAAAATATTATTGGGCGCTTCACTATTTCTATATATTTATGTTTTTTTACAATTAGCATCTTAGTAACGAATTTTCTATAGCATATTCCATTAAATTTAAAAAAATTGAAATACATGTCGGATCTACGAGAAAAAAATTACTTTTGACGAAAAAAGTGCCTAGTAATATTGATTGAGCATGTTTTTATTATTTCGTTCCTAAAATAGTATCAAATAATATGTTATTGAAAGAATATGAAATTCATTTTATGTAATATGGGCAATTTAATTTCAATTAAAATTTATAACAATTGAATAAAACAGTCAATTGTACTATGTTTATATTATTTTAAATTAATTTAAAAAAAATTGTATTATGTTATTAGAGATTCTAAATTAATTTTATTTATGCTATTTAAATATAATTAATGGAATTCATTAAATCAATTTGAAACAAAACAAAAAAAATTTAATTGCTTTTTTACTAGATTAATGTTCAAAAATACCAATTAAAAGTTGATGAAATATATTGTATTATTTTATTTGTATTGCACAGAAGATAATAATTATTAAACAATAATACATTTGAGGTATTGCAAGTTCATTCAAACAATGGACATATACGTATTGGGCATACCAACAAGTGTACGTGAACCTAAATATTTGGAAAAGTTTAGGTATGATTAAAAAAAAATGATTTTAATTCAATTTACCATTAAACCAATCAATTTTAATATTTTTTAGTTTTAATTCTTTGTTAATCATACTTGTTGGACTTTTTTCGCCTAATAAAAGATAATTAAATAAAATATTTATTTATATAGTAAAACCTGTTCATTCCATAACGTTAATTTCATGTGAACGTGATCTTGAGAAACATGAATTTCACGTCGAGTCCATGGATTACCATTCGTACTTCCTGTAGTTGTTCCATAATCTTTTAAAACCTTGACGTTAACAGCTATATAAAATGACGAATAATATAAATTATATATATTTTTTAATTTATTTCGATCTAGGAATACAAACCAATTATTGAATTCAACGGTAAATTTTCAATTTCATTTAAATGAGTAAAATTATACGTCAAATGATGTTTGTATGCCATTGTAATTTCACGTATTTTAGTTGTTTTATTTACAATTAATTGATAATCATGAGGTAATTTTTTATAAATACTATCAACTGTTTTGATTGATAAACCATTAAATTCATATGACTACAGTTATATAAAAATAGAATGTTTTATTTAAACGTTTTATTACTTTTCCTTCAAATAATTTATTCGGTAATATATACGAATCCAAATTAAAAGCTACAAGATTAATTGCAGCTGTATCATCGACTAAATCCCATGTTGATATTTCACCTTCGCCATTTGAATTAATATATGTTCGTTTTGGATGTGTACAGCTAATAATTGCTTGTAATTTCCATCTATATTATGTGTTGTACAAGGAAGAAATTATAGATATAATTTACCGTGTCAATTAAATAAAGAATAAAATATGCAAATGAAATTTTAATATAACATAAATTATTTGATATTAACAGAAAAAACAGAAAGCAAACGAAGTATCGATCAAATTAGATCAATAAAATTAAGATCGTCAAAAATATTAGACGTTAACACAATATATTGATTAACAAATCGATAACTTACGGAAAATCAATATCGGTATTAATTTGATTAATTTTTATTAGTTTTGGTTCATTGTCTACAATATATTTTAAAATTAAATCATTAGGTTATAAAAGAAAATTTTTGAAACATTCAATTTTTGAAGAGTTAATAGATGTGAATCTATTTCTGTTTAATTTTGTAACTAAGAATGAGAACTTTAGTAATATAAATATCGCTATGCGATTATTTTTAATTTAAATAAAAAAAAGTGATTAGAAACATCAAATAAAAGTAAATCTTTTTTTTTATACTACATACTTGTTTGTATGTTTAATATTTCGATAAAATCTTCAGTTGATTCATGATTTTCATTACATTGAGAAAGTTGATTATTTGTATTATTATTACTTTCGAAAGTATTTTTATTAACATCAACATTGTTGTGATCATTATTACATGATGTAGAATTGTTTAAACTTTGTGCGACTGATGTATTTGATGTTGATTGTAAACTACCAAAAAAAATCATATATGAGTTAGTTAAATTGACGATCTTACGTTTTATTTGAATTATTATTCATCAATTGTTCATACATATGAATTACAGAATGATCTATATCCATTTTAATCTGAAATGAAAAAAAAAGTTGCATATTGTTTTAAGTATTTAAGTTTAATTGTCAAATATCCAAATGAATAAAACTGTTAATCAAGAAATGATAGAGAGAAAAGTTATCATATTGATCAGAAGTTCAAGAAGAAGAAGATTGATTTGTTGATGAAGGTTCATCTGTTTGTCCAGAAGGTATTAATATAGTTTCATTTGTATGTTGATGTGTTGTTGATGAAGATGTATTTGGTGGATGTTCAATTTTTCTCTTTTTTGTAAATACGATTGCTTTTGGACCTGTCGTATTGTTTGTTTCTTCTATTTTACCTTTTCCTTCGTCCTCCATTTGTCGAAGTATCAATAAATATTGATCTTTACTTATTTTTCTTTTTAGATTTGCTGGTAGTGATGATAAAAGAAGTCGATCAGATGGATGATTTTCAATATATTTCTTTATATGCATTACTTCATTTTCTGGTACATTCATACTATCTACAAAATCAAATTATGATCATGATGATGTAAATATTATATGAAGACTTTTCTGTTATTAGCAAAATAAAAATTTTCTTTCTTATAAAATACTTCTAGTTTTTATTTTAGTGCTTTATATATAATCAATAAAAAATATTCATTATTAACCGATATGAAAGCATATGAAACGTATTTATCTTACATTTTTTATTCAATAAAATATGATCGGTTATTGGATCATAGCCAGCTAATATTTTAATTTGATTAAGATAAAATTTTGTTAATAATGAAGCTCGAAAACAAGTATCATAATCAATTAAATGATCATCTTCATTTAATTCTTGTTCTGTACAAATTATTTTGAATTTATCATCAAGAGTACCAAATGATTCAATATTTCCAAGCATATTAAATAACCGACGAGAACATATTTTAAGAATGTGAAGAACGAGCGATAAACGTTCAACTCGTTCCATTGATTTTTGATAACAACTAATTATACAGAAACTTAATCAATTGATGCAATAAATAAATAAATAAATAAATAGGCTACCTTGCTAAAAAATCATCTTCA